GGGGGGGGGGGGGCGTCTCCGGGGAAATGCGCACACATCAGCCCCGGGCGCGTCTCTCGGGCAATCTCAGATCTCGCGCAATCTCGCGCCTCAGGGGGAAGTTGCACATCAGCCCCGAGGGCGTCGTCTGTCAGTCGGACAGCTCGGGCCTAAACAAAGAAAGCGCGCGGCTAAAAAAAGAAAGTCGCGCGGGGAGGCGTCTGTCCGCCGGAGAGCTCGTGCCCGGTGTCGACGGCTGAGAACAGGCCAGAGAGGCGGAGGCCTTCGTGCAGCCAGCAGGCCGACTTGCCGACGGGGAGCGAGTGGTGGCACGCCAGGCGGGGGACGTACGCCTCTTGCTCCTGGGACAACAGAAGACGGGGGGGGGATAAGAGGAAATGCGCCGGGCTGGGGAAATGCGCCGCTTGCTCCTGGCAATCAATGATGCACCATTGAGAGCTCCCCGATTTCGACCGCCGGGCGGGGGATAGGGGAGACGCATCTTGCTGCCAGCAGACGCGCCGCTGCGGCGTGGGCGTTGCTGCTGCGTGGGCGTTCGTGCGCATGTGCAACGGCGCGGTGGCTGCGAATCTGGTGATGTGTGTATGCCTTGCAAATGTCGCGCGGCTTGGCCGCGCGCGAGGAACTCCGCCGCGACCGCTCCGCCCGCCCCGCCGCCGCTGGCGGCGGCGCCGCCGCCGCCGCCGCCGCTGCCGCCGCCGCCGCTGCTGCCGCTGCTGCGGTCGCCGCCACCGACGTCGCCGCCTCCGGCGTGTCTGCCGACGACGACGGAGAGGAGGAGGAGGCGGAAGCGGAGGAGGAGGAGGAGGTGGAGGCGGAGGAGGAGGCGGAAGCGGAGGAGGAGGAGGCGGAGGAGGAGGAGGAGGCGGAGGAGGAGGCGGAGGAGGAGGCGGAGGAGGAGGTGGAGGAGGAGGCGGAGGAGGAGGTGGAGGCCGACGAGGAGGAGCCTGCCCTCTCGAGCCACGCCTACCCGGAAGGTTCGGAGAAGCTTCCTGGCAAGGCTTTCCGACGCAACTGCGCCCCCAGCTGCTCCAATCTTGACGCCTCGTCCTCCCCAACCGCCGAAGCCGCCTCCGCCGCCTCCGCCGCCGCCTCCGCCGCCGCCTCCGCCGCCTCCTCCGCCGCCGCTTCCGCCTCCGCCGTCGCCGTCGCCGCTGCCGCCGCCCCCTTGCCGCCCCGCCGCGCCGCCTTCTCTCCCACGGTGTCCGGACACGTCCCGGACACGTCCCACTGGCCCGTCTCGGTGTTCCAGACCTGGCACTTCGCGGACACGTCATTGGACGCGTCTCGGGCATGCGCCGCCGGCCAAGTGTCCCACGCCTTGGCGAGCCCGTTGGACCCCCTTGGCGGCGCGCCTGCGAGACATGTCGCGGAAATGTCGCGGCATGCCGCGGGACATGTGCATGTGCATGTCGCGGACATGTCGCGGACATGTCGCGGACGTGTCGCGGACGTGTCGCGGAC